ACTGACCTCGCCACGGCTTTGCCCCATCTAGTTCTGGCCCCAAACGAGCCTCGATTCCTCGCATTTTTCTCGCCGATCCTGGCCTCTGAATCCCTAACAAAAGAAGTTTTCTTCCATTTTTCTCGCCGATTCTTGCCGACCCTGGCCCCGAGCACTGACCTCGCCACGGCTTTACCCCATCTAGTTCTGGCCCCAAACAAGCATCGATTCCTCGCCGATCCTGGCCCCGAACACTGACCTCGCCGCAGCTTTTCCCCATCTAGTTCAGGCCCCAAACAAGAATTGATTCCTCGGACTTTCGGCGCCAAACGCCCCCTCTGAATCCCTATAGAAAAAAAAGAAGTTGTCTTCCACATCTGGCCCCCAAAGAACGGTACTCCCTTGCGCGCTCCCCCTTGCTTCAACCGGGGTCGGCGGATATACATATATATATATATATGCAGTGTATATATACATAGAGAGAGAGAGGATAACAAGCTGTAACTGCCACGATCCATCTAATGGTAAGAATCCTTGCCATAGGCCTTGTATTGGAGCAGTTCACATTTCTTTGTTGACTGTGTTCTGCCAAGGATGGTGCCGTTGCTTGAGGCTTTCAAAGAGCACCTCCAAAATGAGCAGGCCGCAATGCGATCGGAGGCTCTAGAAGAGCTAGCAGCTTTCGGCTACGCCACGAGCACTGTGGACTCTCAACTGCATTTTTGGACCACAGTCTGAAACGGAGAACACCGGTGGAAAGGAAGTCAGATCACCTAGAAATGAACAATCTAATTTTTTTGGGGAACAGACAGGGTGTATATACACCACTAGGACTTTTTGTTTCTTCTTCCAGGTTCCAAAGTGAAACCCTTCTCTGCTTAGAATCCTGCAAAACACTGAAGTCACCTGACAATCGAATTTCTCCCTTCAAAAACTGTTGACTGCAATTGTTGTAACTTAAAGCGGTGATAATTGACCATCCCACACTGGCCACGCGATTCAACGCGACTGATCCACAGATCCACATGGATGTACTTAAGACCCGGTAAGAAGCAAACACTTTCTTCCTCCTGAAGGAGTATGCCGGACTACAGCTTTAATCTTTGCCCACGGTTCTTGGATTGGAGGCTTTTGTTGGGTTTCAGCGACAGCAGGAGTGATTCGGGTCAGTTTCGTCAATTGGTGCAACTGAGGACGATTTGATGCAAAGGTACTTTCACAAACATTTTCTGGATGTCCTTGGAGTTTGCGAAGACCTTGAAGAACTCTTTGTGGAGAGGGAACTGGACTTCGTTGAGAAGCAAGTGAAGTGCCAGATGAGGGCGGCGACATCGAAGGAAGATGTGCTGCGCCTTGCTGAGAGTTGGCAAGAATCGTTTCGGGTGGGCGGTTCGGTCCGGCAAAAGGAGGCCTTCCAGCTTGCAACCCGAATGATTTCAGAAGAGGCGACAATGATCATCAACCGACCGAAGGAGTTGGTCCAGCGGGCAACAACTTATACCTGGCTGCACAAGTTGGGTCTCACTCTGGACACACAACATCTGCAGTATATGTCGTTGGGGGATGCTTTGAAAGATGTGGAGGCCGACCCCCTCTTTGCTGCAGCGATACGACCCGAGGATGTCTTCTTCCTCGCTCAGGAGCAATTGAGACAACCCGCTGAGCCAGCACTTTGCCGTCACGCAGATGTGAAGAAGTTGATCAGCGAGCAAGCTGAGGCTTTTCAACAGGCTGCCTTCAAGGAGAGATGCCGCAGGTATCATTTGGAGGTGTAGGGATCTCAGTTGTTGTGTGGGAAGTTGTCAGTATTTTTGCAATCTCTTGTCGCGTATGAGCCCAGGTGTCGCTTGCTGGCACCACTCGGCAGGGACCCGGCGTCTGTTTGGATGATTTGCGAGGAGTTCTTGCGCGTGGAGAATCCTGAATCCAATGGTGAAGCCTTTAGCAAGTTCTTGCAGGGTGCTTTGCAGGCCAGAACCTTTTTTAACGTCAGAAGAGGAAAACATATACACTTTCAAGCATCACGCTCAACATGGTCAGGTGTGTTCTAGCGGGGAAGAGCTTGCAGCCATAGAAGAAGTGAACGTTTTGGCCCAGGGCATCGGAATTTCTGAGAGTCGCCTGAGCGCGGTCTTCCGGGAGCAGTTGCAGTTTTCAATCGAGCACTTTTGCAGTTCGGTTGTTGAGGCAGCTTTTGGAGAGCTTCAGGTGATGCTCTTTTCAGATTGCAAGTTGCAACTTCATGATAAGTTGAAGGAGCTGGGTGTAGATGTTTTGGCTGTGAAGCCCAATCACAGTTGGGGCGCAGACAAAGCCTGGAACATTGCGTTGCGCTCCTCCACGGCTTTACAGACGGTACTAAAGCATCAAGCCACCTTCAAACCCTTTCAGAAGATGGGCCTGCAATTGCCTCCAATCAAGTGGGTGTCGAAATTCAGCAACAAAGCTTTGGAGTGCTGGAAGGACCATGTTTGCCGATCTTCTTCAGAGGAAGATGTCATTGAGTACAAAGACACTTTTGAGCAAGCAGTGGCGTGCCTCTACGAAAGAGGCAACTCTTTCTCAGCCGCAGGTGAAGAGATTGAGGTTCGAGTGCGCTTCTCACTCGTCCTTTTCCCAGTGAGGTTCGAGTTGTCTCCAGATTTGCTTCACAAGATTTGTCCGAGATTGCAGTTTCATGCTGATTCGCCAATGGCGCTT